GGGGGGGGGGGGGGGGCAAACCCAAGCCCTTGCCTTGTGACAGGAAGCGGCCATTCAGCCACGTTCAGCTTTTGTTCAGAGCCTCCCGAAAGGGAGCCGCCCTGTCCCGCCCGGGGCTTCAGGGAAGCCGGACCCTCCCCAGAAATGACAAATGGAAAAGACAGACGGACTCGAGCCAGGCCAGGATACAGTCTCTGGGAAGAGGTTGTTTGTGTCTCCGATGCCATAGAAAACACAGCCTTTTAACTTATTAAGGAGGGACACGGCACAATCACCCAGGCTGGAGGTTACCAAGGTGAACCCAGTCCCGAGATTACAATCTGCCAGCCCAGAGGTCCAGGGACGCATGGAGGCCCAGAGAGGAAGTCGAGTTCACTGTTGGTAAATTTTTTTGGATGCTGTTTATGTTTGAACTTTTCTCTGTTTTCCTGTAGAAACTTCCGGACCCTCTTCCTGTGTCCCTACAAAAGGCCCGGACAATGCGGTCCCAGCCCTGCTGTGGGACACGGGCGGGGCCCCACCTTCCTCCTTCCTGCAGGGATATCCTTTCCTATAGAAGAGGTAAGAATGTAAGGTTCGTGTGAACATGTTATTATATTCCTTATCTCAGTCATTTTGTGATTTGCTGGTTGGCGACGAGAAGTCAGCCTGGCCACGTTCACAATAGAGGTGGCCCCGGTTCCGAGTTCGGGCTCGTGCTGTTTTCTCAGCTGAAGAGGGCAAGCGGCCGGTGAAAACGCTGCTTGTTTTCCGGGATCTTATCAAGAGTTCACGTCTAAGGCCAGAGAGAGAAGGGAGGGCTCCGCTTTTTTTTTCTCTCTCCTCATTGTTTCCAACTGAATTGGCAGGAAACAGGAATCCTCTACCTGTCCCCCTGGGGAGCAAAATTGATTCGATTCCATTTTTCAGATGTATCCGCCGCCACCAGAAGTTGGGGACATTTCCGCTCACCCCCGAAACGAATGTGTTCTGCGTTTACAACAAATGACATCTTTCAAAGTTGGCAATAAATCAAAGTTAAGTGAAGAGCTTTGGGATTGGTGATTGCTGTAAACTGCATCCCAGGAGCTCAGATTTATTTTCTCATTCACCCCTTTTCAGGCTGTGGACCCCGACTGACTCCAAATGCACGCACGCGTGTGGTGCGTGTGCGTGTGCGTGTGTGTGTGCTGTCGACGGCATAGACTCTCAGAATGAAAATCCTTCACAGAGTCTCACATAAATTCGAAGGGTTCACATTAACAGCTGCCCGAGAGGGTATGTGGCTGGTGGACAAGGCAGACTCCACATGGAAGGTTAAGTCCGTTTCTCAAGAATCACGGTGTGTTTGTGGTTGATCCAGTATTTTCCACTTAAATCAGTTCAGCCTATTTAGTCCACTTGGACAAGAGTCACGGTCCACCTAGATCCTTCATTTTACATGAACTCAACCTCAGATCATTATATTCTGAGGAAATTGGTTGTTTTCCTGCCTATGGATAAAGTTTAAACATAGGAATTGTATAAACGGCAATCATCCACAAACGGAAGGAGCTTTCCTTTCAACGTCAACTCTTCACCTTGGAGCTTAGACGCAGAACCTCAGCTACTGGATGGAATCAGAAAACAACCCATTTTTAACTACCCTCCAGAGCACAGGAACCAGGGAAAAAGCAATTGGGTTCTGCTCTAGTGGGGTCTTGGTTTTCCCAGGCCACACCATCTTCCATCCAGGGCCCTGCCTCTGTCAGAGGCTCTGTCCCCACCCAGTCTTGTTAGAGAAGATCCAGCTCCTCATACCCACTGCTTACCTGGTAGCTGTTTGTGGCTCTTCTGCTACGTGAGGATATTTGAGGGAGAAACTCTCCAGATTCCTTCTTCCTATGGGTCCTTGGTGGCCCACGGGGCAGCTGCTGGTCCCAGACCTGCCTGCTCCTCCACTCCCATGGCTGTGTTTGGTGGGAGCCAGACCCTCTGTGCTCATCCTGGGGCACCCAACTGATGTTTCAGATACACAAGCCCAGAGTCACCCCAGACCGTTTTTGCACCCAAGTGAGATAACCACCTTATGATCAGTCTCTACCGCATTAGATTTATGGGAGAAAGATATTTCACATCCTTGTATTGTATTAACCAGTGCATTCCCATAATCCCAATATTTCCTTTCTCTTCTTGGCATTTCCCTCATGTACCTATTCCATTTGAAGCAGTTGGGCTCTTCTGTACGAACTGCCTCAGAGAAAGGATGTTACCGTGGAAAAAAGAGCCTGGAAAAGACTCTTCCTGATTTTTTAATTCAAAAGCTTAGGCCATTAAGGAAATGGAAAAAGACCCACAGAAAGGATCAAACATTTGGCAGAAGTATCACAAGTGAGAACAAAATTTCTCACCAGCCCCGCTAAATGAGCTTCAAGAATTCAGGAGAACCAGAGTAGAGAGAATGATGGGTGAGGTCCGAGCCACAAGGGCCAGATCTAAAGGGGCTACAGAGCATGAGCAGAAACAGCCCCTTCAGACCATCCATTATCCACTCACATGATGCTGTATCACCCATGCCCAGGGCTACACTAGTTGACTTGTCCTCTGGCATCCAAGAAGGACATCTCATTGTCTATTTAGCTGGAAATAACAACTGACTGCCCCCAGCCTTGGCTATGTTGTCACAGCTGAACTTACCCAATGTGATCAAACCACCAAACAATTTCTCAGGGCACTAGTAAGCCTCCAAGAAGGAAGGGGGTGTCCTTAAGCACTTGACAAGGACGTGCTATGGAAGGAAAGTCCCTTGTGTCTACAACCGAATAGAACCAGCTTCAGATTTTTCCCTGACCAAAAACAGTGGTTAAGATCCACCTCCACCCAAGTCCTCTCTGGCTTTCTCAAGCGAACCACATTGCTCTTCCATGTTCAACAACTTTGAACTGTTTCCCCAGAGCCTGTCCAGGGGTCTATTTGGGTTATCCTACCTTGTGTTGCATTTCTAGCCTCTGACATAACCTTGACCTTGACCTCAATCTTGTGTAATTGCCTGTTTTTCCAGGTTCTCATCTCCCTTGCCACAGAGCCCTGAACTCCCCAGCTCCCTGGCCGGGATTCTATCAGCTTTCATCTCTCCACTTCACCAGGGTGTCAGTTCTAACACCCCAGCCATTCTCCTTCTCATGGCACATCAATCACACACCTAGAGGTTTTACAGCCTCTAAGATCCTCACCCTCCTCCACCCCATTTCCCTAAGATGAAGTGAGTTACAGATCAATGGAGTCCACAGGGCCACCCTGTGAGTACAAGAAGGTGGAGGTTCTGTTTTGGATGAGTCAAGGTATTATATTAACAGAACAAGTTTGGTCCAAAGGCTGGTTTTGATCCCTTCTCATCAACGTGCAGTCCCTTCTTCATTCTCTTTCCACCCATGTGACTGTGGTTAGAAATCCTGAGGACAAGCCTGCCCTCCTTAGGGAAAGGGTGGTAGGGTGGATCCAGACCCTGCATAGAGGCTTCTGTGTAGTCCAGAGGTAGGATCCAGAGGGCCACAGAATGGGCCGGAGGGGCAAGTGCCATAGCTGAGGTTTTAAACGAGAGAAGAAAGGGTGCAGGGATACCAATAAGTCTTCAGTGCAGTTCTCTGGTTGCGTCTACACTGAAGAGATCAAAATGGAAAACATAAAGTGGAAATATCACTTCTGGTGTACGCCACACACCTAGTATATGGAGCACCTTCATCTTCCTTCTAGCCTTTCCCTGCATCACCGAGGTGCTTGAGGCTTAGCTAATGTTTATAGAGCCTTCTACAGGTCTCAGAGGAAAGTGACTACAAAAGCGCAAGCGTGAGTACCATCACTCACCCTGCCCAGATCAAGTCTAGTGAGCATTAACTGGATTTAAAGGTAAAGAAAACGTTAGTGTGTGTTTCAAAGGCTACCACTACCTGGCGGGAAGAAATGCACAATGAAAGGCCATTTTTCATGGTGAAATTATTAAAGTCTTCAGAGTCAAAATAAAAAAGGAGAGAAGCAAACATCAAGGGATTAGGAGCGACCATGAAAGCAGACTCGTTAGCAAAATCAAAGCGGGTCCTCAACCACAGCGACAGCATGACTGATTTCTATGTAAGACTCTCAGATCTAGGCCATTGCAGGACCTGCTGGCTCCATGAGCTTTTATTGTGGTAGCATTTCTCTGGATTGAATTCTGGCTGAATTAATGGAGCATGAATTGGGGGGTACATTTTTTTTTATTAAAAGACAGAGATTTTTGTGATCAATTATGGTAGCTAGGGGTGTGCAGGTGGAGGAGGGGAACGTTCCGGAATGTGTCTTCTACCAGTTGCCCTAATGATCATTCCCATCTCTGGAGGCTCACTGACTGACTTCTAATCCTTGGTGACCTTGGGGCAAGTTATTTAACCTCTTCAGGTCTCAGCGTCCTCATTTATAAAAATGAAAGAGTGGAATAGCAGTGGCTATGTCTGTGGGGTAAGAATCCACTTTTTACTGTATTGCTGGGCCTCTTACAAGAAGCATTTATTACTTTTATGATAATAGTAATCACGGCTGTGGTTCACTGAGCACTACTGTGTGCAAGGGATGCCACTAAGTTTGTATAATCTTCACACCATGGAGAAAGTATGTTTATTACCCTTGTTCAATGGGTGAGATAACCAAGGAACAAAGACGTGAGGCGATTTGCCCAGAGCTAGCAAACGTTAAAATCAGGATTTAAACCCAGGTGGTTCAGATACATGATGCATGCTCTCAATCACTACACTACAATCAAAATAATCACGTTCTAAAGCCTGTTCTCCCTTCAAGACACAGTTCAACTCTCATTTCTGTGATGCCACCTCTGACCACATCTGCTATTCATTCATTCACCAAACATTTACTAAGTACCTATTATGGTCAAAGGGCCAATTTGGGATCTTATAAAGTATACAAGTCAAATAAATCATAATCCTTGCCATCCAAGAGTTCACGGTCTAGCAGTGGAAGATAAAGTGACCTCAAAAACTAGAATGGAAAGGCCGTAGACAGAGACAAGATTCTGTAAGAGTTCAGAGACAAAGGAGGGTACTTCCAACTCTGGGAAGAGGAGTCACACTCTGAAGACAAGAAGAGCACAGACAAAGTGGCTGAGATGGAGGACCTGACAACCTGCTATGGGTGGGGCCTTGTTTGGTAGAAATGAGACCCAGTGAGAAAGTTTTGCTTAGGCCAGCGATAGGGTCAGAGAGCGATTTAATGATAATAGCAAGTATTTATAAAATGCCCGACAGGATCGCAGGATGCTAAGTAGTTTTACATAACTCATTTCATCTGCAAAACAACCCTAAGAGGAAGAAGATACTGATACTTCCCCAATTTTACAGAGAGTCTAGTTAGGTAGCATTGCTGGGATTAGAACCCAAGCAGTCTGGGCCCAAAGGCTGCATCTATAACCACCTGACTAAGCTGCCATTTTTATCCACCCGTCTATTCATGGGCACTTGAGTTGCTTCCATAGCTTGGCTATTGTAAAAATGCTGCAATGAACATGGAGCATAAATTCTTTCCAATTAGTGTTTCAGGTTTCTTTGAATATATTCCCAGAAGTGGAATTGCTGGGTCATAAAACAGTTCCACTTTTAATTTTTTGAGGGCCATCCATACTGTTTTGCATAGTGGTTGTGCCAACTTACACTCCTACCAACAGTGCACCAGGATTCCCTTTTCTCCACATCCTCACCAACACTTGTTTATTGATTTATTATAGTAGCCACTCTCGCAGATGTGAAGTGATATCCCATTGTGATTTTAATTTGCATTTCCCTGGGGATTAATGACATTAAATATATATATATTACTCAGCCATAAAAAAAGAACAAAATCTTACGATTTGCAATAGTTTGGATAGACCTAGAGGATATTATGCTAAGTAAAATAAGTCAGTCAGAGAAAGACAAATACCATATGAACTCACTTATATGTGGAATCTAAAGAACAATATAAATGAACAAACAAAACAGAAACAGACTCATAGATACAGAGAACAGACTGATGGTCCTGAAGGG